CTCACTCACCAGAACTCCCGTACACGCCCATACATGCACAGAAAAAGGGGGAGAGGTACTGGAGTGTCCCACGACTCCCACCGCCCAGAAGAAGATTCTCAACGGAAGACTCAAAGAAGCGAAGTGACAGAATACGTAATCAATGATTTCTCTCCACAACAATCATTCATAGATAACAACAGAGTGGTCGCAACACTGACTCATAAGATTCACAACCAGAAAGCAATGGAGAGATGACAACTCAAACACAGTATTAACACTGTTTATTGAACTCGGAGCATCGTACAACTAAAATAACCTCAGAAGTTCAGAACCTTGTTGCGCTACCCTGAAAGGGGTAGCGCCTCAACCCCAACACCCCGAACAACTAAAAACAGCAACGAAAGTTACGAAACCCCAGCCTCCCCACGACCCCAGGTAACACCCAGTGGGCCAACGGCCCAGCGCTGCCCTTAGGCCCCTTACATCCGACTCAGTGGCCTGCGCGAAACTGAAATAGGCTCCCATAGCCAATCGGCGATCGCCACTCAGATGATGACGTAGAAGCTCACCGCCAACAGTACCTGATGAAGATGAAGTCCAGACAATGATAATCTCTGAGAAGATGCATCTATGGCTGGATCGCCACTGGGAGTCCGGGAGCCTGGGACCCAACTCCTGAGGAGAGTTAGCACTGACTCAACACTGCAGTACGTACTCCAACGCATCAGACCTCTGATAGCCCAGACCTCTCGTGTCCACATCCTATCTATAATGTACATATAGCCTACACCGACCTAGACCAGATTGACTAACCAGTTTTGGCCTCTGGGGCCTAACCCTACCCGGCTATAGGTTATAGGACCGTCTATCAGCATAGGCCCGTGGGGCCTCTCTGTCCTAGGGGTAGCCCGGGTCTGCTATTCGCAGTTTGGGTTGCAGTGGCCTGTAGCCTGTAGGGAAAATGAAGTTGGTACTGGGCCCATATTCCTATATTTATAGATATGTACCTCGTGAATTTTCCATACAGGCAGGTATCTCGGTCGGTCCTTTGCCAAACGAAGAATGATAGAAAGCAGTGAACACTGAACACACAGAGTCTCTCTCTCTCTCTCTCTCTCTCTCTCTCTCTCTCTCTCTCTCTCTCTCTCTCTCTCTCTCCGTCGTGTCTCAGGGATTCCCCCCCCCGGCTGCTGATGTGGCAGTGATGTCCCTCGTACCTGTCTTTGCTCCCCCAGTCTGCGCAACAGAGAACGAGCTTGCGCCGGTCGATCAATAGGCGGCAAATGTGCCGCTGGGGTGCAATGACCATTCGGGGCAGGTCCAGTCCTCATCCTCACACGATGACCTCCGCCGTTATCTCCGTCCGCCGTACTGATCCTCGGGACGTAATCGGAGTCATCAGGATCGTCGGCACCTGTGGTCTCACCGCCCTCAACGGCTGCGGAGTTGTCGTCGTGGAGGATGATCGTGTCGCCTCGTCTCTTCTCACCTCGACCTGCTTCGTCCACTCTATCACCTTCCTCCGCCCCCCCCTATCCATCTGCGGCAGCTGGCATCTGTCTGGTCTCGTCCCTGTTGCGGAAAAAAGGATGCAGGCGGCGCCGGTGATACGGAATCGACACACCTGTTCCCTTCTTCCTTGCCCGTGACAGCCTCGCAGTTGCCGTCCTGGTGTCGTTGACATCGCTCGTCTTGGCCCGTATAGGCCTCCCGTGCTGCTCCTCGTAAGCTCTCATGGAATCATGACAAGTGCCATCGACGTTGCCGATTGATCGCGCCCCCGCGGACACATCTGCCGGTCCATATGCTGATGTCTGTCCGATATCGCCCGCCCTCCGGTCCATGCCCGCACCGTCGTAGAAAGAACTCGTAGGCAATGCGCTCGACGCGGTCTGCCCGTGGGCGGCAGGATCAGCGACAGAGGGGCGTGAGGGTGGTGGACACATAATGTCACGCATCCCCGTCAAATGCGGTCGAGGCTCATCTGTGTGCCCGTCTCCAACGTCATGTGTGCTGGGCCTGACAATGCTGGGGTGTGCGGTYGATGACCCTCTGCGCTCGATGCCCCCCCTGAAGGACCGTCCACCATCTGCGCTCCCTGGCTGCGCTGTATCCTCGCTCACGCCCTCGCCTCCGTCCGAGCGGATAACTCCGGGAGG